GTGAACTCCTGAACCTCCATAATAAAGAGAGACTCTGATAATGAACATACAATGCAGTTTTGATCCTGATGAGATCCCAATCACCTCAAAAGTAATTATCATGGGCTTTCATAGGAGTTTGAGTCAGAAGTAGTTTAGCAGTTTATTGAAGGTCCTATGCCTCAAATACTGATTTGGATTTTAAATTTAAAAAATACTGATTTGGATTTGGATTAATGCTGCATCGACAGTTTCCATACTCACTACATTCTCTCAAGGACCAGTCCAAATCTTGATAAAGCAAGATGGTATTCTAATTGACCTACTAAGTAAGGCAAGATCAAAAGATTAATATCATCAATTATTTAAAGAGCTTAGAAAAATCTTTTAAAGAAGTAAAATCAACAATTGAAAAGGGTATTGCTTCAAGGCCTGTATATCCACTCAACAACCAACCATGCATCCACTTGGAGAAACATTTTCTACTTTAATACCAAAGTAGGTCAACTTAACCCTAGAATCACAACTTCAAAATATCAAACAAAAATATTTCAATAATTCTAGATGTAGCCAGTTCCTCAAGATGAACTTACTTATGACTGGAATTCACAAATATAAGGCACTCACTCCAAACCATGGAAATATAACTTGCAACATCCAACCATCTGCCTATGTTGACAAAATGGAGGCTATGTACAGGGAATTGAATACCCTATATACAGAGCCTAGTTATAAACCAGAAGAAGCTTTCTTTTAAGTAGCAAAGTCATATGAATGCAACCGGTAGAAATTGAATGGAACAAAGTAGGAAACTAACACTTTGTAAATTAGGCCCATTTAGACAAAAAATAGACCTTGAAGCATGACCCTTAACTTATGTTTTGAAGTCCATAACTGACATATATCCCAGATCTACAGACGTATCTGTTATTACTCAAAACAAAGTGCATCAATTAAGGAAACAGAACCTATTGCTTGACATATAACTATGTTACACTCTGCATGATAGAATAATAATGAAATCAAGTCAATATATTCAGGTTGAATAAATGGTGAACCTTTGTATATTGGAGATGTCTCTGTGATTGACAGCCATGTCCTACAAAGAAATAGTCAACTGACCCCTACCCAGACCACCCTATTCTAAAACAACAGTGAAAACCACAAGTGAAAGAACTCATGACCAAAACCATCTTGTTTCATGTATACATATCAAATGCACTAGATATTTATGAAAAATGTCAGATGCTTTTGCATTATCTTTCATATCCTGGACTGTCTGCTATGATTCATTCAGATTGAATGTTTTCATCATATTGCTTTCTTAGTATTTCATACAAGTACCAAGCACCATCAAGTTTGATTTTCTCAAACTTGATCAGATATCCTGGATACATTATGGCATATCAACCTCAAAACCACAAAAACATTTTTACTTTAGAAAAATAAAACAAAGTTAATGCGGTGCAATACTTATGAATAGATTTCTTATTATCAGTGCAGTTCAAAAACGAAAATTCAAAAATTAATTTTAATAATATACAGATTTTCAGATTTCCATTTGAATTGCCTGTATGCCTGTATATTGTCACAGGTTATCTCTTAGCTACCAAAACGATGGGAGCCTACAATAAAGCATACCAATTTGAAACCTATTGGTCAAAATTTATTCAATTGTCCAGTTATTTTCTTATAATATCTTTGTATATATGTACTACATGTTCTACATGTTCATGAGCTGCTTGGGGCATAAGCATGAACATGAAATCAAGAGAACAACTTTAAACTTCTAATATGAAGCTAGGTTATCGTTCAATGGACTAGCTCCTGTTGCGCTGGGCCGCTGGCCCATCGAACCATCTTAACTTACAATTTGGTGGCAAGTCATTGTTCATCTTAAAGTAGACAATTTGGTTTTGTAATTATCGTAACTTCAAGTCGAAGCAGAAGTGATTTATATTTGCAATGAGCGTTATTTTTCACAGATCCAGCTTCTAAGCAATACCCTTCTGTTCAAGCTCCACATTTCATTTATATTGCCATTCCATCAACAATCCAATTTCCTACTAAGTGAGCATTTTGAAAGATTTTAAAGGCATTGGGAAAACAATCTTGCTTGCAGAAATACAATGTAACACACAGTCAAACATTACAGCATACTCATTTTTCTGAATTTGGTACAATTGGATTTCCAACCAGGTGCTAGTCTAGCTCCAAGACTCTGTGACCCCTCCCCTCTACTAGACACCTTCTCACACAGTGTGGGAAGGTATTTAGGGGGGGGGGGTAAGGGGTTACAAAGCTTTGTAGCTAGACTATTGTTAAATGGATGCAGTCAGTTCCTTTAATGCTGTGGAAATAATAATCTTGTGTGAAGTCCCATTATTAGTCCTCCCCAATGTCCCATTTTCAATATCACAATATGGGTATGGAAATAGAAAGGAGGGGATGCCTAAAGACTTGATGCAAGACTAGAAATCACTTCAATCATTTGCTCCAGGTAAAGCAATGAAGCTTCAACTAGGATCTTTCGCCATGTTAATCTCTGGAATTCATAATCTTGTCTAGCTGAGCCTAATGAAGATATATCACCATCTCAAATTATTTTAATTTCTATATCACCAACCTGGCATGTGATGACATTATGTGGTCCCGCTAACATTTAGCTTTCATCTGAGCTAGTGATTTACATTTTTCTAGAGTGTACTAATAAAGGTGCATTTTTAATCAAGATGCAGTCTCATAAGGCACTCCTAACTGAGCTACAGACAATTTATTCAACACAGGTATCAAATTGCAAATGGTGAACTGAAACTGGGTTCAAAATATGCAGGGTTCTAGACTCCTCAGAGAATCACTTAGATATTTACAGTTAAACCTTAAAATTCAAAACCTTTTAAACCAAAATTAACCCCCATAAAAGCAGCAAATAAACACTTTAGATGTGGAGCAGATTTCATTGAAGAGTTGATCCAATTTTAATTTAATATGACCAGAACTCTCTAAAACATATCTGGGTTCTCCCCAGAATCTAATTGCATGGCGCTCCCCCCTGCTCACTCGTTTTCCCCGCCCTGTTCCCCCCTGCTTGCTTCGCCCGCCCTGCTTAGCGCCCCGCTACTTCAAAACTTCCGTTCATTATTTTATTCTCCTGGATATTCGACGAAATCACATAAAATTCAAAAAATTTTCAAAAAGTTTTTCCCGATTTGCCATTCCGAAGGCCGAATCTTAAATGTCTTCTGATTGGCTCAAAACTCATGATTAGTTACGAAATATCCAATCAAATTATCTATTACTAATCGTGCGTCATCGACATAATCTGCCCCAGGTTCGGTTCGATCACTTGATTTGACTACGTATGCGCATGCGCCCAAAACATTCTAACCTATCAAAATCGTTCATTTGATGCGTGCGTTCAGAAAATTAGAAAAAGTTAACAGTTGAACCTGGCGCAGATTACCCCTATACTGCAACGCGGAGTGATATGATCACCGATCATCAAAATCGCCAATTTGGAATAAAACAAACATAAAAACGACTAAAACTACAATTTGACAATGAAGTATTATTTTTTATTAATAGTTATTATAATTGCGAACGAATTAATGTTCAAATCTTGCTTTTGATGGTTGTCATGATAAAGAAGTTCGACTTCCTTTATGCAGGAAACTTAAAAAAAAAAAATGGGTAAAATTAAAAAGACTTACCTAAAGAATAGAATGAAAGTAGAAACAGTGGACAGGGTCCTCAACATTATCATAAATGGACCAAGGGAAGAGGTGTTCGATTTTGAGGCAGCATGGGGGAGGTGGTTTGACATGCACCCCAGAAGATGTAGGGACAGAAGACTTTAAGGAAACACAATGAACAATGAATACTAATGACACTACAAGCATAGTATCATGTATTGTTAAATAAAAGGTTTTCTAAATGAGAATTGGTGTTTATATAGCGAGCGAAGCGAGCGGCAAAAATTGGCACAAAAATTATGCGAGCGAAGCGAGCGGCGAAACTTGTTAAAAAATCCCCCCCTGCTATGAAAAAATCCTGGGGAGATCACTGCATATTATTGTTTTTCATTTCTGATCTACACCTTCAAACAATAAATAAAAGAAATATATAAAAGTGCAAAATATAGAATATACCAATGAGGTATTGCTCACCAAAATATACCAGTAACCAAAACACAAAACAAAAAAACACTGGGCAGGGCAGTACATCACATTTATATCTTCATTACGTAACATAACATCAGTTTTAACTGCTTTCTAGATGCCTCTTTTACAATCCTACTTAGCAAAAGTTTAGCATCTGTTGTTCAGCCTATCAACAGTATATTTTATTAGCAGTTTTCTTTTGCACCAAATATAGTTTGCATAAGTAGATTAAAATGTTTATTCTTTACATGATTTAGTTAAGGGCTTGAGCCTAGGGGGTTAGTTTCAGCCCATGTCTACTCATATCTTCTACATCACAATGATGAGAATACAAAATGTAGTTGGTTGTGACTCATAATGCAACATGCTACGAACGCTAATAGAACAAATGATCACATCTACCTGGAGCTTGGATGAGAAAGGCAAGAGCTACTTCCATACCAACTTATTATATATTTCCATGATCTCAACATGTTTTTTTCTCAACATGGACTAAATCCACATATCTCAATATTTCATCATTTTAACAGGATAAACAAATTTTCAACAGGGTCAGCATATCTATTTTATCAGTTTCAGATACAGCACCCACCCATTATCTAAATCATAATACAGTATCATACAGTAATACCTGTCTTAGTGAACACTCGTGGACAGTGTCTCTCGTGGATCCCCTTCCTCCCCACATACTCTACTGACTTTTGTATAAATTACCCTCTCTGTAGTAAACATCTACCAACACTGAATGTTTTTTCTTGATTTACGGAGATGGGCAACAAAAAGAACTTTATGCCAAATTTGAGCAGGTTTAAGGAAATGTGCCATGGAAAGGTATATTGTAAGATCATCTTTGCTACTTACCCATTTAGGGGGTCAAGGGCAATAGCACGGGGCTGATCCAAGTTCTGCCAGAACAACACTTTACGTGCTGTACCATCAAGATGGCTGACTTCGACACGGTTTGTTTCAGAGTCTGTCCAGTATAGTTTTCGACCCAACCAATCACATGCAAGACCATCAGGAGACACAAGACCTGTAGTGGCGATGTTGATACTTTGTGATGAGTCATTGATGTATGTACGCTTAATCATCTCTAGTGTGACATCAGTCCAAAAGATGGAGCTCTCTTCATAAAAGAAATCAACAGCAGCGGCATCTTCTAAACCACCGATGACCACGGTAGCATTCCCCCGGGGCCTCCCGGGGTCAACCGTGCACACATCACGACGATTTGCATACAATAATAGGGGATCGCCTGGAAGTAAAATAATAAAAAGATGAGCTATCTGAATCTGTTTGTGCTCAAAAGTATCTTTCTCAGCCTTATATTGGAGTTTGTATGTGGAATAAAGTTTCTAATATACATATGTGATTTCTGGACTTCTCATTCTTACTTGAATCTATCTATGTCAAAAATTGTTCCATATTTCATATCTACAGTTATTAACAAACCAACTTATTTGAAAACTGGAATATGGGAGTCTAACCACATGGCTAACTAGTTCTTGAAAGGGGTAAATGAATATATTTCAATCAGTATCATTTTGAGCTTGCTTGGGAGTGAGACAAAACTCATCTTGAAAATTTTAAGGATTATCGGGAGAACTGCCCTACTGAGCAAGGCATCTATAATTTCCATGTTTAATTAAAATATTTCATGTTTTCCCCCAAAAAATATCCCGAGCTCTGTAGTAAGACATGTACATGGAGAGATGGATGATTACATGAGATTTATGATGTGCTTCAACCTTTCACACCCACAATGCTGAAGAAACATACATAGTTTACACAGACTGATATATTTAGTTGGCACCTTGGCTACTTACTCAACATAACAAATACCATTTATGCTAGAAACATTTTTCTGGAAAGTAGAATTTGTTATATTGCACTATTCAGTGTATCTAGAAGTTCTGATAAAATCTATTTACTGTTGTGAAACTTTCGTCCCATTTTTTACTTGAAGTGAGGCTTTCTTTCTGGCAAATCAGGCAAATTTTGTTAAAATAATACCTGACTTAGGGAGATGGGCCACTCTAGCTGGCACCTTACCCTGAGTGCAGAGATTAGTTCTAAACTAACCTCTGAAATTGTCAGACAATTTTAAAGTTTAACAGCCCCACTCATCACACTGCTGGTTGGTATCATCTTGGCTGGCACACATTTTGAATAAATTTTGCAGCAGGGGTAATATTGTCGAATACACTCCGCAGGTCTAGGCACAAATGTTTTCTGTACCCGAAACCGAAGAGTTTGGGGGTGTATTTGACGATATTACACCTGCTCTGAGGTCTATGTTACGATTCGAACATGAAAACTCACAAAAATGTTTCAAATATTCATTATGGTCTGCCATTACCACGGGCCGCCGTTATGACGTCATACATTAATCGTATTACCAGGGGTGTATTGGGGTATATAACCTGGGTGGAATATTGACTTTGTTCAAAGTTTATAAAAGGTGTGAATACAGTCATGTTCAAATATCCAATACAGTATATGCGATTATTAAACATCTGAAAATTCTAACCAAGGATATAACTGAGAAGATTTAATTATGAAGATGTCTGATTAGATTATATCTTCATGGCATATTAATTAGAGACCTTTGATCCTTCATTAAGTGGACATAAAGTGATGAGGAGACAGCAGTTAATAGACAGACAATATCCAGCTTGATGTGGACAGCTATAATGATATTATGATTTATGTAGGATATCTTGAGCAAGCTGGTCAAACCTCATCAGCATCATATGGTGACTAATTCGGGAGTGATTTGGAGAGTTCAGTAAGGGGTTATGATGTCATGAGTTGACTAAAGAAAGATAGTGAGGGACCTGGTAAGAGATTCATTGCAAGACATATACAAGACATTCAACATGCAGTGTCACTACCTGCCATTTGTCACAGACATCCTACACCAAACGCTGAACACCAACTAGCGAACACCATGTTGGATATTATAACTGAACAATATGTCACCACCTTGAATTTTGATGACAAGATTTATGCGTCGCCTGCTCGCACAGACAGACACTCATCAGCAATTGGAAAAAGTGAGATAAAAATTGCATCTGAATGACATCCCAGACTTCCACTAATATAATAGAACATTTGACAATAGAATAATGTCAGCTTTCCAGATTGCATCAGCAGACTCAATAATCATAATTGTTTTTATTTTACAACATAAAAACATACAATCAATACAACTCCCACGAACATGTCTAGATTCCATTTTAATGATCATAATAGTTAAACGAAGAATGTAGGACTGGTGTTATTACTGTAATATAGTAAAATATTTCTCCTTTTCGAAATTGCTTCATTTAGAACACTCCATAATGACTTAAGACCTGACTACAATTTGATTATAATGAAGTCATTATTTCTTCACCAAGTGATCTAGTGCATTAGTTGAAATAATTACATTTGGTAATTTGGACAGTTTCCATGACGATGTAAAGGGAGAATCTAGCTTGGGGCTTAGTTTTCAATTTTTGTAAAAAATGGACTATTAGATCAAAGGCTAAAGTTGTTTGTCCCTGAGTGGATCATTATTCCTATGAACATCACAATTAATCAGAAGTGTCAGATATTAAAAACTTCTGAAGATATTTAAATTGGATAGGTCACTTGCATGTCTGATTGCCATGAACAGTACTAAACAGAAAAATCAAAAATGACCAAGCTTAACAACTGGACTCGACCCATAGAAAAATCTCATAAGAAGCTATATTTTCAATTCAGAATTTCTAAATGGTTTACTTAACTCATCTTCACAGGTTATGTAAAGAAAATGAAGATGATATATAAACCATGAAAAAATGTAAAAAAAATGTTTTTAAAGAACATGATGAATTAGTTAGTCTCCAAACGCAAACATGATTTAATATGGCCTTAAAGGGATTTCCAAACTTTTTAATGGGAGTGTATACCAATGCTTTAACCACTGACTTAGATGTTGATGATTGCTTTATAAAGATTTCTAATGTACCAGTGTTAAGTTAGGATCAAATTACCATACTATTTCATGATGGGATATGATATTAAAATTCAAAGTACCTTCAAAGTTATCACCAATAAAACTGAAAGAAAAACACATAAAAGTTTCATGAAATATAATACTAGGGATAGTCTACCAATAAAGCACCTATGATCACAGATGTGAATTATAAATTCCCTAAAACACCTTTAAAAGTGTCCTGGTCTTGATTTATAAGGGTAATAAAATGTCTTTCAGTGAAAAATGAAAAACCAAAATGTAAGATGTTTATAAAAAATGACATAGAGATATTTTATATTTTAGAGCCAACAGCCCATAAAACAGTCTTACCAAGGAACTATAAATCACCTACTGGACTTTGCCATTTGACTAATTTGAATTCTACTTCGACATCCTTTCATGTCATGGTTAACCTGTGAAAAATTGTTGCATTTTTTCTTTTGAATATGAATTATGTGTTTTAAGTTCATTCAAGTATATAAGACATTGTTTTAAAAAAGGTGTTCATTGAAAGCTACAGTAGAATGAAAATTCAGGAAGAAAGTATAATATTTAGAGGTTATGTCACTATCGTGGCATATATGCCCGAGGTCTCAGTGATATATGGCCCGACCTTGGGAGGGACATTGATCTCTGAGAACCGAGGGCATATGTGCCACGATAGTGACATAAACGATTTATAACATACCTATGATGATGTAGACTGGTCAGAGAGTACCGTTTTCTTATAGAATTGACAAACAAATGGTTTGAAAATGATTGAACTGAGTTAAGAAAAATTGCTCGCGCAATTTTATCTTCGATTGATTGGTTATAACGTCAGCGCCTTGACCAATCAGAAAGTTAGCGGGCGCGGGCTTTTCAAAACTGATATTGGCCCGCTGTCTTGTGTACACTTTGCACTATACATCATCATAGGTATGTTATAAAAATACTTTTTTTCATGGTATTCAAATGAAATATGAGAAAATTACCCGAATTGAATATATTCTGAGCTTGTGCAGGGAAAAATAAAGCCTAATGTCGTTTTACAAATAATAGGCATATTTTTAGAAAATATATCAAAATAGGTATAATTTTTAAAGGAAAGTTTAAAGCCTGGGTCATTGCCCTTGGCTTGCAGTTTATTCAGTCAAATTAGACAACGAAACCATAAAAACTTAAAATCTGGATCATGAATGACACTTAATGTAAAATCTGGATCATGATATAAGTTTAAAATCGTGATCATGCAAAGCTAAACCATCAAGATTTACTCAGAAGTGTTTTTATAAACCAACCATCCCAGGCCATATCTCAGCAAGCACTTTACTTCCCAACAATTTCTCCAATTTTTCTGACAGCAACTCAAGATGTAAGGATATATACCAACAGGTATTTCATCTTAAGAACCCTACTGAGCAAGGGGAATTATTCATGACCTAGTGGTTTAATATTTTCTGGAGTAAGAGTTTTGAACCAGGTTGCATGTTCCATGTGTGTATTTAGTAATATACATATATATAGAGCAAACTTCTATGTCATTATGATTATCATCATATTTCTTGGGGATCTAAACTGATATATCATTTATATGATATAATTATCAAGTCAATAAAAGATAGAGAAATGTATATAAGATGGCATAATAAATTGAATCCATTGAGATATTTTTATTAGCATAGTTAGTTACACATATACGCTATTCTTGAAAGATATTTGTACTTACATATAGTAGTAGTACACTAACATTATATCAGTATTACACTAATATACTAGAGAATTTCACTTGTATACATCATGCACTGTAAGCAGCTTACACTAACATACAGTCATTTAGGCAATACTACACTGACACAGTCATGCAGTCAGAACATACAGTCATATACATTTAGTACTACACTGATATATAGTTATGCACAATTAATTACACTGATATGTAATCATGCACAAAGTATTACACTGATTTATAATTATGTACAGACAGTATTACACTGACATATAGCCATGTACAAAGAAATACACTGACTAATATCACGCACAAACAGTATTACACTGACATACAGTCATGTACACATTATTACACTTGTAAATAGTCATGCACAAAGCATTAACACTGACAAATAGGCATGCAAAAAGTACTACATTAACATGCAGTCATGTACAGAGAGTATTACACTGACATTAAGTCATGTACAGGGAGTTACACGGACTTATAGTTATAGAGTGAGTATTAAAGTGACATGATAGTCATGCACACATAATGGAAGTGACACACAGAGTCAAATACAATGTATTGCATTGATATACAATCATTACAAAGTATGACACCAGCACACAGTCATGAGCAAAGTTAAAGTATTATACTGACACATACTCCATAATTTCACCTTGCATTCTTAATCTTTGAAGCACCCAAGGCATGATTTTGATTGTTTTCAAACTTTGCACAAAATATAGGTCACGTGACCTGTACTTTTTTGAAAGATTTCACAGGTGTATTTTCGAAATCAGGTCGTGAAATCGACAATACAAGCGTATGATTCAAATACATGGATTATCATACAGATATATAACATATCTTCGAGTAGAAAATATTTCTATATACAAACCGATTTCGTACACTTTTTTCGATAATTGAACACGCTGGGGAAATTTTCAAGATGGCCGGCCTATCAATATCAACTTTTTTCACAAAATAAACGTCCAATTTCTACCACTTAGACACAATCAATTTAGTCCATTTTGTCGATACAAATAGCTTATGTCTTGAATTTACAAGTACCGTCCCTTTCTCCAAAATAGACACAGGGGAATGTGACGAAATCAACAAAACACATTGATAAACAACGGGGTGTTTTGATGGAAAGATCAAGAAATTCCATTCACTCACCTTTACATTGGAGGAATACGCTGAGAATGATAAGTATCCTCCTTATAAAACTCATCCTAAGTATATTTAGGACGTTGGTAGAGCCTGAGGTCTACATCTGAAGACATTAAATTGTATATCCTTGGTGAAAACGTATCCGACATTTTGGTGTTGTTTCAATTTCCATTTTCTACATTTCTGTCCTTGGTACTACTTTCTCAAGTGGAGTAGATTCATCCGCAAGTGACATCTTGTGAAAATTTATTGATTATCAATATTCTCATGCAAAACAACTATTGTTTTCAATTATCCTTTCCAGACAAATCGATATATAATATAATACCCTCAAAACTAGAAATCTCTAAATGATACACGCAAAAGCACAGCATTTGTGTCTGGAACTTTATTTATTCGCGCCTGACAGGTTACTTGACAAAAGAGGTGAACAATAGGGCACCTGTCAATAATCAAAGCAAGTGCAAATGGGGGTCAAGTAAAGTGGTCAGAAATCTGAGATACAAGTTCATTTTCTCAATAAATCAAATATTATTTGCAATATGAATATTACAACCTTTTCAATTATAAACTGTTTCATTCATCAAGCATGAATACTTCTTAAGACTCCCAAACTTTTTTTATCCAGATCATAGATAAAAATATAACTAGATAACAGCAACGCCAAGGTGTAGCAAATCTCATCGAAGATCCAATGAGTGAAAAACAACACTTCCTCAAAATAGGCACCTTTTTAAATAGCCACCTTTAAAACATGTTGTCAAAAGAAAATACATCCAATCAAAAGTTTCCGGTAGAGTATTCAGTGAAACCTGTCTTAATGAACACCTCTCTCTTGTGAACACCACTCTCAAGTGAACTCCTGTGTCTAGTAAACAACCTTTCTCAGCAAATACTCTATACTATTGACTTCTGTATAAAATTGCCTCACTGTAGTGAACATCTACCTATAGTGAAAACATTTTTTGTGGCTCCATAGATGTTCACTGTACTCAGGTTTTACTGTATTTATTTAAAAAAATTCAAATAGAAAGTGTTCAATGGTAGTATTTCATCTCAATTTAATTTGAAATTTGCCTCATATATTTTGATTTACCATGCATATTTTTAAATCCTGGCTACACCTCTTATATTGTTTGAATCTTTTTGTTACCTTGACCATTCAATTTGACTTTATTTGGCTCTCAATATTGTTATTGTACAAAGGAAAGTTTGGTTGATTTAAAAAAAAGAATCCGGAATCTGAATGAAATAAAATGTTTATCCTAATTTTTATCTATTTTGTTTTTTTTAAATTTTTAAAATACTTTTTGTTAAATCAACCAAACTTTCCTTTGTATAATTATGATATTGAGAAGAAAATGTTGTATATGGTATTTTGTTCCAACGAGGTTTGGAAAGATATCTTATTTCATTCTCGAGAATTGGTAGAAAGGAACAAAAAACGATTGCACTAAAAAACAAAAAAAATGTTAGCAAAAACAGTTATTTAAAGGGTTCTGATTAGCATCCCGTATAAAAACAATATGGCGGCTCCAGGCGAATCAACTGGATCAGTCCATTTTTAAGAAATAAGGGGAGTTCTGTAAAATCCAGTTTATTGAAATTGTCTTTGAGATAAAGTAATCCGTTTATAATGATTTTGAAAACGTAATCCAAAGAGTGATTGCGTTCAAATAATAAATGTACAACAGCCAAATATTCTTGTATTAGAAACCGGTTTGTCTTGCTTTGTTTCATTTGTAGGATATTTCATATTCCAAGCTGTGTGCAATTACGTTATGGGGAAATTTAGATGCCAATTTTTCCTTATTATACACAAATAGAAGATCCTGAAACTTCACCCATAAATGTGGAATTGATTTGTCAAAATAAAAATCACCCTTTTATAAATGTGTGACGATCTATAATATACTTATGCTATATAACAGTTAGAGGTGTTGACACAACGACCTTGAACCTGTGAACCCTTGAGTATTATTACGGGATCAGGCCTTTTATACTAAACGGTGAGCAACACCAGAAACGAGCGTTCGATTTGCTAAACGATATGCGTCACCCTTTAAATATATATAAATAGTTTTCGCATTAAATTGTTGTCGATCAGTCAGCATTACATAAAGGATTGTGTTTTTTACAGAATGTTTTCAATAATTGGTTTAAGAAAAAAACATTTTTGAATTCAGGATACCATATCGATACCAATCCTTTTAAAAATTCTCTGAAACAAAAATGGCAGTCATAAAAAGGAAAATAGATCGCTTTTCAATTCAGTTTTTTTTTACATTTTATTTCTTTTTCTACGAATGATATCAAATTTTCAAATATTGAATCAGTTAGAGCAATATATTGGTCACATATTCTGAAAAATTCAAGATTCTGTTCAGTGACCTTTCCTAAGCTCCTACTTTTAGCTATTTTTCAGTCACATTTTCAGAGGGCTGAAAAAGTTATTTCATAATGTTAAGGGTCATTCTGACCATGTACATTGTGGTGATCCTGGTCATGTAAATGATACGTAGAACTAAAGGTCAAAACAGAACTCTGTTATCTTGGTTCAAAAAATATTCAAAACCCAGCATGGTTTTCACTTTCTGTTTTGTCATTTTCTGTTAGCACCCAGCACCATGGCACCTTAACATGACAAAATGTCACCACTTTGTTGCTCACAATATTATGAGTTCAATCTTTATTAGTCAGATTTGAATTTCTGAGAACTTATAGATGATTTCGACAAAATGGTCAATTTGAAGCAAGTTGAAGAAAGACCCTTTTTGACCTTGAAAAGGTCATTGAAGGTGAAACCCCAAATCGAAAGTCAGATTTGAACACATACATGATTTTGAAAAACTGAAGTCAGTCCAAGTTATCCGAAGTTGTAAGAATTTGTTACAGACGTATAGCAATTTTTCGACAATGTCTCCAATTAGATGTACCTTATGTGGATGGCAATGATCAATCAACTTTGTATAAACAAATCTTTTTTGTACAAGTTGGAAAAAGTTTGTCCACCCTTTTATAATTTTAAGCTGAGCATTTCACCTCTTATTTCATGTACAGGGTGTCCCGAAAGTATGGGGCCCCCCCTTGGCAGACATATACCAGTGTCGTCATAGCAAGTGTCATATATCATTTTAAAGCTTATCCAAAGTTACATTGATTCACCAAGTATCATGGTTCAACTCTCAAATGTGAAAAAATTACAGGCATTTCAAAATTTAGTGTTTGGTCAAAATTAAGTTCAATTTTAAGCCAAATCACTAGTCAATGTGTCCTCCCGGGCCATCTTAACAGCAGCAATTCTTTTCGTGTCGGATGGATATTGAGTTGGAAAAAGAGAACGGTGTGGGTAGAAACTCTAAGGAAACTCTTCTAAAGTCCCTTAACAGGTTTTAAGAGGGTTATAAAATTCCACACTCCTATTTGAAGGGCTTTTGCAACTGTCATGCCATTTTCAAGTCTAAATTGTTAACACTCTTGAAAGAGTTTATATCTAAGGCTGAATTTGCAAATGCAACTATCTGCTACCAGGCTGATCTTGATAATAAACTCATTTAAATATTAATAGTTCCTATCCTGGTACTGCAGGCTGGGCGTCAAACCCAAACACTGACCTAAATAACAGGTTACATGGTTATTCTGCCTATTTATGCAGCAAGTAACAAGGACTTCTGATCTGTTTGCCAATTGATTTGCAAAATTATTGTTTAATTTATGCAAACCAATAGGTTAATCCGGTAGCTGCTAGTTGCATTCACAAATACAAGCCACGTCTCAAATCAATGCTTATTTCAGGCAATTTGGATTTTTCAGAGGTAAATGGGCGAGTGCTTTTAAAAGGTGGCAGCACCATCTAGTCATGGGATTCCAGGAAATATTTGTTTATTTCACTCATTTGGCAGGCAGAAACATACTGCTGACAAGTCACATGACAAGTACTTCATAATGGGAGAAACTTTCAAAGTGAACTAGAAAGCGGTACCTCCACAAATAGCAAATCCCAACAAACACTATATAAATCATGAATCTGTAGGCACTATGTAAAATCACCATCTACTCTTCCCCTCAATAAATATTTGAGGTCATTGTAGTATCATCTAACCATACTTTAAAGATAAAGCTACCAATATACATCTTTCCACCAAATATGAAGAAAATCTGTCGACTTGTATTTGAGTTATCTTCCAGACGGACGGATGGACGGATGGATGGACAGACTGACTGAGGGACTGCCGGACAGAGGGCTATATCCCTTCCGAACCATGTTCATTGGGATAATTAAGGCCTAATTGTTTTATGGTCTACTTCATCACAAACATTTGTAAACACAACACAGGAATACACATTACACAAACTGTATTTTTAAAATCTGCCAACACATTTTACAGTTTTACATTTTACATGATTTACAATGGGAAATCTTTTGAAAACAAGAGCATAAAATATATCTTTACTTTTATGATAAAATAAAATACCATATTGTAATAAAAATAATTCAAATGGGAATTTTCAGTGAAAATCATGTCATGACAAAATGTATTTTGAATGTTCTTTCCTAAAATAAAAATTAAAAAAAAGCTCACTGAAACATTAATGGAATACACAATATGATAAAATCCTCTCGGCTACAATCGATCCTGTTCAGATGACCCATATTGTCGGATTGCTGAGTGTGGTGTATCCAAGTCTTATTGTTGAACTTATGAATCACACTATCTGGATGTCATACTTGCTGATGAATTTCAATCAGCTTGGCTGGTGAAGATCCTGATCCTTTGACAATTCTGCTCCTTTGTTTCGACTTTTGTCACAAATAGTCATTCATGGTGTCCATGATTCACAATCTTTGACTCTGCTTATGTCTTACAGCTAGTTTAGTCTACTATATTTACAACGTCTTTTTATCCATGTTATAATATTCAGACTAAATGAACACTTATTTCCATTACACATAGCTGATGTACAGGGTTTTAAGTGACGATATTGTCACTTTAGTGTCTTTATCATGTGATGATACCTAAAAGAACATTAAAATAATAAAGTTAGGTTTATATTTGAACAATACTATCAGAATTTAAAGAATTTTTTGAACTGCTCAATTTTTCACAAAAGTGAGTAAATAGCCAGTTTCCTCTTCATTTTCCTCAGAAAGTTTCTAAGGATGTTCTATGGTTTTTAATAATGGAATTTCA